TGGTTCAGGAGTGCGGCCCTCGCCCTCCGTAATCCCGGCATCGCCGAGGGCGATCCAGTTCTGTCCGGCGCCGCCTGGAGAGAAGGAGATTGGGCGCCCAGCAATGGGCATGGGAGAGGTCGGGGTGAGAGAGGGGGATAAGCTAGGCGGGAGGGCATCATGCCTGCCGTTATCAAATCCAAGGAAACGACTGAAGGTCGCAATATCAGTGTGCATCGCGGGGTTGAACGCATCACCCCTCCTCCCGTTTGGCCGAAGGCCAACGGTTCTCGTGCGCATGTGGCGTCGGCGGAAGCGTTCCCGCTCCAGGGAGCAAGGTGCGACGGCTGCCCTGGCGGGATGGCGCCCTGTGATCCAGGGTGAGGACGCCTTGAGTCAGCCAGTCCGCTATCTGAAGGCTCGTCGCATCCGCGACTGTCCGACTGGGGGGCGGGTGGCGGACGAAAGTCTTCGGGGTTGCAGGAGTGTCCAGGGAGTTGACTGGTCGCTGCATCGCCGTCGGCGCCGAACAGTCCGTTTGGGGCGCCCCAAGCTGCAGGATCGTTGGATGCCGCCGTCTCGCTGGGAACTCCTCGGGCTGAAGGCCCATTCTCTGCGTGCGAAGTGCTGCCAACTCCAGGAAGGGCGGTGGGCGCGCGGCGACTCCCGTCGCTTCTCGTGGCCACATGCCCAGCGGCACTGGACGCGTCCAAGGGAGGGTGGTCGGCGGAGTGTGGGCGTGAGCCAACGGGATGTGGATCGGGGGCGTGGGCGGAATGCGCTCGGTCCGGCTCGTCCTTTCTGGAGCTGTCAGATACGCCTGTGGAGACTCCACCATCCGCTCGGGGAGGCGTCGTGGACCTCTTGTCGGGGAGAAACTGGTCTCCAACCACGGGCGCTCCCTCAGCAGCGCTCCCACCTGTCGCAACAATGCTGTTGCCATGGGGGGAGCAATGGAGAATGAGGTGGTGGCCGACGGCCCCGGCGACTGGCAATGCGATAGCTTGAGCTCGTGCCGCCACAGGTTGAGCCCCAACCGCTTGAGCAACAGATAGCGCCCTCGAGGTACTGTTGTCAGGGGATGAGCAATGGGAGGTGAGGTGGTGGCCGACAGCCCCGGCGACTGGCAATGTCATAGCTTGAGCTGGCGCCACGCGCTGATAGGAAGGAGGAGCTGCACCTCTACTGTCCAACTGGGGGGGCGGGTGGCTGTCGCAAGTCCTCGGGGTTGCAGGAGTGTCCAGGGAATTGACTGGTCGTTGCATCGCCGTCGGCGCCGAACAGTCCGCTTGGGGCGCCCCAAGCTGCAGGATTGCTCGGAGCTGCTGTTTCGCTGGGAGCTCCTCGGGCTGAAGGCCCATTCTCTACGTGGGCAACGCTGTCAACTCCAGGAAGGGCGGCGGGCGCGCGGCGACTCCCGTCGCCGCTCGTGGCCACGTGCCCAGTGGCGCCCCCGACCACCATTGGTGCCGCCTCCGATTCTCGAGCTGAAGGCTCTTCACCTCTGTGGTTGCTCGATGCGTCAATCTCTGGTTCTCGAGCTGAAGGCTCGTCCTTTCTGAAGCTGTCAGATATGCCCATCGAGGCCCCCCCATCCGCTCGGGGAGGCGTCGTGGACCTCTTGTCGGGAAGAAACTGGTCTCCAACCACGGGCGCCCCCTCAGCAGCACTCCCACCAGTCGCCACAATACTGATGCCATGGGGGGGGGGGGGGGCAACGGGGCACGAGGCGGTGGCTGACGGCCCCGGCGACTGGCGAAGTGATAGCTTGAGCTCGTGCCACCGCAGGTTGAACCCCAACCGCTTGACGCTGATAGGAAAGAGGAGCGGTGGGAACGCCTGTCTGCCTATCTCTGATGCACGAAAAACCGCCCCTTCCAGGATGCACGTCCGCAACGTCCCTGGACCACTGAGCTCTCGACCCCATCCCAACGCCCTGGACCCCAGAGCTCTCGACCCCATCGCCGCGTCCAGGACCCCTGAGCCTGCCAGGTGCGCGGCAGCTAACGGCTGCACCGGCAGCGGAAGAAACTGCAGGGAAGGACGTGCCGTCGTCTGAAGTGACTCCAGGTTGGCGGCTAACGGCTGCACCGGCGGTGGAAGAAACTCCAGGGAAGCACGCGCCGTCGCATCTCCCAGGACCCACAACCGAAGTGGCATCGAGTCCCTGAGCTCTCGACCCCATCCCAACACCCAGGACCCCGGAGCTCTCGACCCCATCTCTGAGTCCAGGAGCCAGGAGACCGCCAGGTGTGAGCCCGGCGGGGACTCCTTCGCCGCCATCCACAAAGGACAATCCAGGTTGGCAGCAAACGGCTGCATCCACATCCATCGTCTCTTCCACGTCCTCGTCCACGCCCCCGTCTTCCATCGTCTCCTCCTCGCCCGCGGCCAGGGTCGTGAGCATGCTCACGGGGGCGTGCTTCAGGTCGTCCTCGTCCTCCACCTCGGCATTGAGGGCCCCGAGGTACGACGTGCAGCCGGCAGAGTCCCAAAGGCCCGAGGGGGCCTGAACGCCCGGCTCGCTCTCGTCGCTGCTGGCGCGCAGCGGGGATCCAGTGGGCGGCGCCCAGCCGCCCCCAACAGAGTCAGTGCTGCCGGGCACCGCAAGGCCGGCCGCCGTGCCGCCCGCCGCCGCCGCCGCCGGCGACGAGCCGGCGGCGGCAGCAGCGGCGGCAGCGGCAGCAGCCGCGGCAACGACGGCAGGGGCGGCACCGCCGCCGGGCAAGGAGGCCGCGGCAGCCGCGACGCCAGCCGCGGCGGCCGCCGCCGGTGGCACGCCTGAAGCGGCCGCGGCGGCAGCGGCGGCGGCGGCGGCGGCCGCGGCGAGTGCATCGGCGGGCGGGCCACCGCCGCCAGCCGCCGCCGCAGGCGCAGCGGCGGCGGCGGCGGCCACGGCCCGGGCGCGTACCTGAGAAGGGGCGGGCTCGAGCCGAGATGGCTTGAGCCAGAGGCTACGGACTGGTGGGGATACGCGAAGCGTCAAGATTTAACAAGGTACACCAAAATCTGATGATTTGCTACCGAAGAGGAAGGGGCCAAGACTCCCGGGGCTCCGAACTGCAAACAAGCGGAGCACATGATCTCTGGAATCGGATGTAGACATGCCGCGAGGGCTTGGGCTAGGAGGTGGTGCCGGCGTGACGCTCATTCATTACCTGGGGATCGATTCGGTGCTCTGGTGTAGACACGCCCAATTCTTCCACATCTCCTCTGATGCTATATCCTACGCATGTTGTGCGGATGATCTCTGTCAGACTGTCGATCGATATGTTGTACACATGTGGGACGCATGTACCCATGTGGGACGCAGCAGGACATACTGGTACTAGGTGTCCTCCTCATAGGCGCGCGTCAGACGCAAGCATATGGTACAAAACGCATCGTAGTGTGGTGTATCGTTCCCCGCGCGGGACGACCAGAAAGCGCCCGCCACGAAGCTTTTACTAGATGATCATCAGCGCACTCGGTGCCAGGTGGGGGGCGATGACGCACACGTAGTATTTATATGTTGGGGTGATGCCGAACATGCACCGATCCTGCCTGGGATCATGTCGAGATGACGTCGGCCTTGGCTTCTGACAATGCATGGGCCATTCAACCTCTGACGGCCACGGCTCCTGGACAGCGCAGATTGCTCGAGCGATCCGAGGGCCACAGTCAACGTTCAGTCTTGGCCAGCGCCAGGGTCGCCGGCGCGTCAACGCGGCGCGAACCTACTGCATGTGCGGTTCGGAGGTTGCCGAACGTGCTCCTGTCCCAAGGTCTCTAGCTTTTCTCGCCACACCTCTAGCTACCTTGCTCGCGAACTGCTCGGCACGCGCGCCAGAATACCGCTACCCCTTCTGGCTCAGAACGCCACCCAGGGACCGAACATGGTCGCCCGCGAAGAAAACGGTAGCCGAGCGGGAGCACACGAAGCGGACACGCCCACCTGACCTGGCCAGGAAGGTGCATGCACCGAGTCCCGGGCCCAAGATCGGCCCGGCCAAGATCTGCGCAATTTTGCCCCAGAGCCCCGGCGTCGTGATTTCTCATGACGTGGACCTCAAGAGGCATGGACACCGTCCCGATTCTTCATCCTGAGTCGTTTCTCGAAGGTCCGCAGGCCCAGCGCAATGTTGCATGACCTGAAGGGGTCTAAGTCCCAGGATCGGCCCAGCCAAGATCTGTGCCGGTGTTCAGTGGGGGGACAACACATACCGACACCTCCACTCCTGGACATTTCCTGATGTACGTTCTGACTGCATTTTCGGGGCGAGTCCAGCCGTGGCGGCGACGGCCTCGCAGTGAGACCCGACAAGGTGAAAACGAGGGTAATATAGCGGCCTCGGTGCCTTTTCCTCGTCTGAAGGATCGGCCCGGCAAAGCTCAGTGCAGATATTTACTCGGAGACCACGGACCCCTCGTTCGGCAGACTCGTCGTTCGGCCCTCGTTCGGCAGACCCCTTGTTTTCGGCAAGCTCGGCCCTGGCCCCGAGCCCTTGTTCGGCAGACCCCTCGTTCGGCAAGCTTCAAGGAGGCCCAACGGACAAGACAAAAGCGAGGCAAGTGTAGCGGCATCGGTACCCATCGATCGGAAGAAGTGGGTAGAACAACGAAGTCGTAGGCGTTGGAAGTATACTCGGCTTCCGCCCGTAACCTGAAAAGGAAGGCAAAGGGAACATCACTCGACGATTGAAGGAGGAGACCGCCTGAAGTATAAATATATTGAAATCTGGGGAACTAGAGATACCTACTTTCAACAACCGATGGGTACCTCTTCCTGTTAGTACTGAAGGCCTCCAAAATGAGGTCGGAGTAGATGGGGTCGGAAGGTCTCGCCGCGTCCACGATACAACAACAATACCTCGGCGATGCATTGAAGATGCACCAACGACGTCAACGATGCATCGGTGACGTCGGCGTGCAGCAAAACGGGATCCACATCGAGCCGCAATCCCCCGACCCCATCTGGGACGCCTGGAATGTATCGTGAGTGCCTGTTCGATCGTGCCCGTTCTTGAGCGCCCTCCGACCACCGCCGCTCCCGCCAGCGACGCGGGCACGGCGGCCCAGGCGCGCCCGCGCCGCAGCCCTTCGGCGCCCGCCGCGAGGGGGGCGCCCTCGAACTGCTGCGCCAGCGCGGCGCCGTCGCCTCGTGGGCGGAACGCATCTCCGCAAGAGTCGTGCGGCGACGGCGCGCGCAAAGGTTTTGACACCGCGTCGATCGTGGCAGAAGATTTGGCAGCAGTAGCAGCTGGAGGTGGTCATGGCAGAGCAACGTGCGGAACTGGACGATTCCTTCAAGCGCGCACGCGCGCAAGGGCGCAGAACTCAACCTCGAACACCTGCGCCACCCTCACTAACGCGCCAACGCCGCGTGAACCTGCCGTATCCGCTGCTTCGCGGGGGCAGCTCATGGGCCGCGACCGCGCGGATACGAGCATTGTTGCTCGCGGATGCCCCGCGCGGAACGCGTCCGCACGACCGCATGCCTGCGGGACCTCGCCCCCGAATCCAGGCCGCGAGGGCACGGATACGGATATGTTCGCCGCTCGTGATCGCCAGGAGGCTCCGCGCAGCCGACGGCCCTCGTGGTCCTGCAGCAGAAGTCCGCCATCGCGCCCTGCGGCACGAGGTGGACCCAGAGATGCTCGAGTCGTGAAACAATCAAGGTGGAACATTTTCGGCCGCTTTTGGCCTCAAGGTGCCTCGCTGGGCCTCGGGACCTTCATATACCGACTCGTGATGTGAAACCGGAACCATGGGGAACGGGTCGGGACTTTCGGGACCGCGCATTGGAACAAAACAAGATCTCGCATGTCTGGGCTCATGTCCCTTCAATCCTGCATTCAGTCCTGTCCTCGGTCCAAGAGGCCCCCAAGACACCCGAACATCGCCGCCACAAAGCTTCCGAGAGGCCTCCCACAATATCTCCACAGGCATCCGAGAGGCCTCCGATCTACAACCATGGCACGGCGTCGGGATGGTCCAAAGGACATTCGATACTTGTGGTCTATGGACCAGCCGTCCACCTTCTCGGGCGGGGCGTCTCGGGGACAGTCGAAATGCTCGTGGCGGTCCTCGTCCTCCTGTCGCGGGGCCGACGGGTGCTCGGCGCACCACTCCCTCTGCTCCAGAGTCCAATTTGCTCTGGCCACCTTGGATTCCTCGCAGTCCCAGTGCGACTTGTTCCTGGCCGCCAAGGCGATGGAGAACGGCGAGTTCTCTCCGATGCAGCCAAGTTCCAGGTGTTCGCAGCACCACTTCTGCTTGCGCCAATGCCACTTTACCTGGAAGTCCTTCAGGTCCTGCGTACAGTCGTGGAGCCCTGAGACGACGGTGGTGGTAGTCGCCTCGCACCCGACAGATCTGTGTTTGCAGCACCACCTCTTTTTCCAGTCCGACCAGCCATTGCCCATGTTCGAGAAGCCCTCTTGGCAATCAAAGACCCAATCGTAAGCATCCGATCCGCACACGACGCCCTGAAGGCGGCACCACTGCTTCTTCACGTCCGACCAACCCGTCTTGCAACTGTGGAAACCTGATCGGCAATCGAAACTATACTCACAGCCGAGCCGGTGATGGCTGCAGCACCACGCCTTCTGCTCTAAAGACCACTTGTGTTTCCAGGACGCAAGGTTGTCTCTGCAATCGAAGTCTGCCGTTCGGTGGTCGGGTGCCGCAGCGGAGCTCGTAGGCGTCGATTGCGGCTTGGGCGTGGTGACCCTGGCCCCAGGAGACTCGGCCTTCTCGAAGTCTACCGTTCGGTGGTCGGGTGCCGCAGCGGAGCTCGTAGCCGTCGATCGTGGCTTGAGCGTGGTGACCCTGGCCCCAGGAGACTCGGCCCTCTCCCTCTCTCTCTCGCTCTCCCTGGCCACACCCTCCTCGCGGGGGCCGTCACGCGTGGCCGGGGTCGCCCCTCCGTGGCCCTGGTCCTGCCCCTGGCCGCCGCCCTCGGTGCCCTGCCACGGGCAGGCAACGTGCATGTTCGAGCAGCACCATCGCTTTCGCTCCGGGCCCCAGGAGCTCTCCCAGGTGCCGATGTCTTCGCGGCAGTCGAAGGAGGAGCCGTCCGCCAGGACCCTGCTGGCCGCGGCGGCAGGGTCCGCAGGGCCGCCTCCGCTCTCCGCAGCGCAGCCCACGCGCCTGTGGGAGCAGCACCACTCCTCGGAGGACGCCAGCAGATCATGTGCAGCGCGCCCCGGCCAGGCACATCCTGGGCCCAAGATCGTTGCGTGCTGCATGCGCCCCCCTGGCTTGGCCAGAGAAGCATAGACCATATATCATGTTGCATCCTCGGGAGACCTTGTCTGTCACGTCGTGGACCTATCCGCGTCGAATCCGTGTCGAATCCATGTCGGACTCGTCGCATCCGCGCCAAATCTTCGTCGAATCCGCATCGAGCCCGCGTCGGGCACAAGGGAACACACCACTTTTGGAAACAGGCGAGGTCCCCCGAAGATGCAACGAAACAGATACACCGATCCATGACCAAGGATGAACAAGCCGAGGGTACATGTACGGCATTCTTCGCCCAGACTCCTGGCGCTGCACAGACCACGAGCTCCTCCACTTGTTCGCCTCCTCTGGGAACCGCGAGTATATACATTAAGGTATCTGGGTCCTACCCCGAGGTGTTTCACAGAAGCGCCACAGGACACCGTATATTGTATAATCTTCTGGCCTGGCGGGTTCTCCTGGCGACAGGTGTTGAAACATATCAATCCACTGCAATTGGGCCGCCATCTGCCAACATATGGCGGACAAACATACACGGTACGGTGGATACGTTTCTGGCCCCGATCCTCGGCACAATCGAAGAGGTCCTGCTCCGAAAGCAACCCTGCAAGGCCCGGGTCGTAAGCCTGCCCTCCGGCGGCCGCGCACAGAGCGAGCCGGTGCATCGGCGCCAGCGGCTGCGCGGCAGCGAGCCCCGCCGCAGCCCCGCTGGGCCAGGGGCTCGGGCCACAACGGCTGCCAAGCTCACCCTCGTGCCGCATCGGCCTTGCAGCCGCCTTGCCGAGACCTTGCCAGCGCAGTGGGAGAGAAGAGCAGCACACTCCGAGCCTATTCCTTCCATCGTATCTTCGGTGGGGGCCCCGAGGAATCCCACGAGCCCTCTGGACACGGGTGGTTTAGCATAGTGGTGTTTACAATATTATTTTGGGAACGGGCCTAACAGGGATGGTTCGCGATGACTCAGGGAGTCCATTCGGGCCCAATGTGGCCCCAAGAGGGCCTGAAAAAGACAATGATGGCCTCAAGTATGGCTCGACAGACCGCACGATGACCTCCAGTATGCTCCCAAAGCGCTCAAAGACCCCCAAAGCGGCCCCAAGCGGCCATGGAACATCTAAAACACGCCCACGAGAGGCCAACCTGTTTTGCCGTCTCGCACTGCCGCTTCCGACCATATGTTGAAGCCTCAAGGTGGGTCCGATATGGCCAAGATCGAGGCCTCAGGAGGGCCGCCAATAACTCCCAGTAGCGCCCAAGGACCGCAGCAGGATGGGTCCAATAGGCCATTTGATAGTCTTCGTCCGAAATGCGCGCAAAGCCAACCAGCACTTTAGGGCGTGCGTGGTTCAGGGAGTTTCCTCTGTCAACACCCCCTCGTCCATTTCGGGGAGGGGTTTGATTTTTCCCCCGAAGGGGGGGGTTCTGCGAAGTGCTGGGGCGTCCAAGGCGACATCGGCGCGAAAGCACAAATCATTGATGTTACTGAGGTTTTGTCTCCGGGGACGGGGGGGCCTACCTTCTTCGACCGATCTTTTGCAAAATGGCACGCAGATTACCTTCAAGACTCCCAAGGGTGCCCCAAAATGAGCAAAAGGCGCCCAGGAGGCCCCCAACGGCCCCAAGCGCCCAAGAGGCTCCCAAAATACCCCAAACAAAAACTAAACGGCTCTCCAGGCGCACCGAACACACCGCACGAGGCCAGTGGGACCGCCGAGCGGCCCCGAAGACGCCCCAGTAGGACCCCAACGAACGATCAAGAGAAACCCGAACAGACTCCGAAAGGTATCCAAGAGGCCTGTGGCCGTTATGTTCGCCTTCCTCCTCGTCCTCCTCCCCCTCCTGTTCTTCCTGGTCCGTCTGTTCATCCTCTTCCTCGTCCTTCTCCTCCTCAGTCCTCACTCCTCCACTCCCACCTCCCTCTCCTCCTCCTCTGGCTCCCCTCTCCCCCCTCCCACTTGGGGTAGGACGGCTTCCCCAGCTCTCTATTACATTGCACGGTTGCGCATTTCCATGATCAGGGCAACCCGACTGGGCATCGTTTGTGCATGGGTTGGTGGGGGTATTTGTGTTCGCTCGCGAGCGCAAGCGGTCGAGCCGCGCGCCGTCGCAAGGTCCGAGCAACCAAAAAGCAACGGCCGAAGACAGACGCCGCGAGCAAGCAACGCGCTCAGACGCCGAAGAAAGCGAAGAGGGAGAAAGCCGGGCCCACGTGCGGAGAGGACCTCGGCAAACTTGAAAGCGAAGACTTTGTGCCAGCAACCTTGGCCCCGACGAAGTTGCCCTCGCCGAGCGAAGTCAACGAGCAGGGCGTGACGCGCCGACGCCGCCGACAATGCGGGTCTCTACCACGTAGCCAGCCGCGCGAAAGAGCACTGATTCCAGGCAGCGTCCGCTCAGCTAACTCACTACGGAGCAACCGACGCGCGGGGCGGCAGGTGCGGGTCAGTTTAAGGCAGCGCCGTCAGGGGCATCTTCCAAGGAGACGCCCTCTTGCTCGCTGTCACTGAGCCAATGTCACAGGCTAGCGCCAGGGGCCATCTAGGCAATGCGGGCGCATCCAGGTCATAGGAACTGAGGCAACCAGCCCATGCACCTCCTCCGAGGGGACAGCCGCAGGACGATGGACGGGTCGGACAGCTCGGAAATGATCGATATACCTCCTGGCACGCGCGCCCCGACGGGGGCGCTGAGGGCCGCGCTGAGGGCGGGGTCGCAGCTAACAGCCGCAAAAATGTTGCGCCAAGGGCGGCCCGTGCGCCTCCTGCGGGGGGGCAGCCGCGGGAGGAGGACGGGGCAGTCGATCCAGGATGTTCATTGCCAGCTGGCCCCAGCGCCACAGGGGGGGCGCCGAGGGCGCGGGCGCGCCGCGGGGGCGGTTGTAGATAGAGGCCAAATGCAGCGCGCCCGCGCCCCGCCTGCGGGGGGGCAGCCGCAGGGGCGGGGGCGGGCCGGATAGACAAGCCAACCAAATGCCGCGAACCGCGAGCGCCCCCGGAGGGGGCGACGAGGGCCAGGCCATGCTGTTGGGGGGGTCGCAGCTAACAGCCGCAGAAATGGGGCCGGCGGGCGGGCCCGCGCACCTCCTGCGGGGGGGCCGCCGCAAGAGGAAGACGGACGAGTCGGTCCAGAGAATCCATGGCCTGCAGGCCACTGCGCCCCGGGGGGGCGCCGAGGGCACGGGCGTAGCGTGGGTGGCGCTCGCAGCGAGCAGCCGCAGAGCAAGTGGAGACAGGGCGGGCCCGAGCCTCCTGCAAGGGGGCACCCGCAGGAGGAGGGGCGGCCAGGGCGGCGCGGGGGCGTGGGCAGGGGGGCGGCGGGGGGGAGCGGCTAACAGCCGCTGTCAGTGTGAACAGAGGGAGAGGCCGTCAGGCAGGAATCCGAAGGGCGCGGGCCATCAGGCCGGGTAGCCAGCGAGGGCCGAGCGCCAGTGCGCGGGGCAGCGCGGGGCTGCAATCGGTGCCGCAGGGGCTCTAGCAGCGACGGGGGCCCGCTCGAAGGGGGCCGATCCCCGAGCCGCCTGCGGCGCGCCCGGGGGGGCAGCGATCGCCCAAGGGGAGAGAGGCCGCAAAGTGGCGCCCCGGAGGGAGCTCTATGGCCTAGGACGAGGCGACAGCCCCAGCTGGGCACGCCCAATTATGGCAGCATTGGCGCACGAGGAGGGGTGCGCGGGAGGAGCCGACCAGCCTCGTTGGCCAGGCTCCGCGAGGCACGCTGATGTACAGCGTTGGGCGCCAATTTGGAGTCGTTGCGCGCGCCCGCCTGCGCGGCCTGGGCGGAACTTGGGGGCGCGCCCAGGGTTGGCGCGAGCCAGCGGCCCTTCGGGGTTCCACCGTCAGCGGGGGTCGCTGTCTTTACGGGGCCCCTTGCCTTTGGCCTTGCCAGGGGAGCCCTTGGCCCTGGCTCCGTCGCTGAAGCGAGCGCGGACTGCGCCGCGGTTGACCCCCAGACGGAGCGACTCGTCCATCTTGAAGACATCACCATTGTGACTGCTTCGTTCTTTGTGGAAGCGATAACAGGAATTCGGGTGCTGTCGTGTGGGGTCCGCGCAGATGCGGCCCGACGGCGGGGGGGATGCCTGGTCGTCCACTGGTACCATACTCCGTTGAACTATCCACCCAGGCCCCTCTGAAGCCGCTTCACGGCCTCGGCAGGGGCCTCGCCAGCGGGGTTCAGAATGTCGACTCGCTCCAGCGGGGCGTTGTAGATCCGCTGAGAAAGGGCATCTCTGAGGGGCCGGCGTCGGGCCCCAAGCCGTCGTCGCTGCCTGCGAGGTCCCGGCGTAGGATGCAAATGCTGCGCCCCGGCCGCAAGAGGATGCCGATGTTGGCCGGCTTCGCAATCTCCTCCAGGACCAGCATAGGAGCCTTTAGCTCGAAGGGGAAGCTCTCCATCTCAGCGAAGGCAAGGGGGCAATGGGCGGCCTTAGCGGTGGGAAGGTGGTGGGCAGTAGTCACGAGCTTGCCCGCCATGGCGACCAGGCCCTCCAGCCGCCCGCGGAGCCGACGGAGGTCAGAGAGCCAGAGTCCCCAGGGGGCCGCGAACTGGGAGCGGAAGTGGTGGCGGTCGTTTGCCACGGGCAGCAGACACCCAGGATGGCTTCAAGCGTATCTCCTGACCCGGAGAGGTCAGGGGAGGGCCAGAGATGGGCCCGAGGTTCGCGCTTCATGAGCAGTATGATGCTGAGAGCGCAGCGGGCCTTCTCAGTGGACATGATACGGTCGTTGGGCTCATGCAGGTCGACGCGATGCTGCGTGGTTCCACCGTGGCCCTGTAAGAGGCTGGCGAGGGCTTCGCCGTCGTAGCCCGGGTAAACGCGGCGGCGTGGGCAGACCCTGGCTCCGTGGGGCCGTGCGTGGGGGGCCCAGTGCTGGAGGCCAGGTGGGGTGCAGCGGTTGTGTTCTGGGGTCCCCAGGCGGCGTGGCCCTGGACCTGCGGCCTGGGAGGCAGCTCGTTAAAAGAAATCTGGCACTCGGGGTCGCCCCAGGAAGTGCCGAGACCAACGGGCCAGACCAGGGTGGCCCAGGTCATGTCGTAAACCAGACTGCCCGCGTCTAGCCCGAGTTCTACGTCGTGCAAGTACCCCAGGTGACTCCAGGCTACTCTGTCAAACTGCACTGGGTTGTAAGGGGCGCCCTCGATGTTGTTCTCGCGGGGTCGCAGCCCTGCATCCGGGCAGAGGGCGACGGAGAAGGCGGGGTCGGTAAGGAGTTCCTCTACTGCTGCTTCCATCCTGTGTCCGAGGTCTCCCCGGCGCTGGTCGACCTCCAGGGGGATGTCGAATTGCGCGTTGAAGTTCTTGGCGTGCTCGCCCCGTCCCCCGACCACCTCCTGGTCGACCCTGGCCCCGCCGTCGCGCGCCTCGATGGCGGCGAGGGCGTCGGGGCCCGCCGGCAACCGGGAGGCGAGGTCGTGGATGGGGTCGAAGGCGGGGTCGGCAAGCAGCTCGTCGCGATTGCCCGGGCTGTGGCTAGGGAGGTTGCGAAAACGCACCCAGAGGCCTGCGAAACGACCGAAGTTAGAAAGGAGTCGCAGCTTGGAGTCGGCCATCGAGGGCATCATGCGGCAGCCTGCAATGACCACGATACCTCGCTTGGCGCGCGTGATCCCGACGTTGATTCTGTTGGGGTTGTCCACGAAGTCCCGCGCGCGGTTGGAGTTGGACCGCGTGGTAAGGAACCTGAAGATGACCAAGTCTGCCTCGCCGCCCTGGCTGACGTCGGCCGTGGATAGGGCGCGCCGCCCCGAGGCGAGGTGCTGATGGGCGACCTGGCGGACGCAGGGGAACACATGGCCCAAGCCGTTGGAACTTGTGAGCCAAGGGCTGAAGGCCACTTCCCGACCGCGCCTGTCGGAGATGTAGTCCGGGCCACGGGGTCTGGGCACCGTGTCGGCACACGTGGATGTCTGGACTCGAGGCAGCGGGGGAGCGACTCCGCTGCGGGGCGGCAGCAGAGGAGGGGGGGTCGGCGCCGTCGCGACGGCGACGACCGGGGGCGCCGGGTAAAGCGACACGTCGTGGTGGGAGGGGGCTAAGAGGTGGGCGGGGGTCGGGGTCGGGAGCGTCGGAGCACTTGTCGCCCTTCATCGCGATTTGCAGGGCTTGGGGGGTGAGCGACCCGCCGTCCTTGAGAATTCCCTTCTCCAGCCTGTATGGGACGATGACCTTGACGGAGAGGCCCTTGTCCAGCTCTGGTAGCAACGCCCGCGCGAGATCAACGGTGATGGCGGCCTAAGGGATGTCAGCGTACCCCTCGGCGAGGTGCGTCGTCAGCTCGTAAGACCTGTTGTGCACCAGAAGGGTGCGGTGGGCGTATTCCGAGCTCGTGTTCTGTGCGCGGGGGTGGAGCCCGTCGCCATCCTTCCTCAAGTCTTCGGCGCTGATCCCGAATAGACCCGCAAGGGAGTCAAACCGCCTAGTGTCAATGTCTGTCACTCGGGCCAGGGTAGGCATGGCGCCAGGGGGCGGTCCGCGAGGGGATTGAGGGGTCCGCTGAGGAGATCCTGGTTGCAGTTTGCATTAGAAGGGAAGAAAATGAGGAACGGGTGCGCGCGGTAGGTAACGGCCAGGGTGATGCATGCGGTCCCTTGGCCCCCCGGTTAGTACCCGAGCGAGTCATGTAGTCGCTGGAAGACGGACAGAGCAAGGCCCATGTCGGCTGCCTTCTTGGAGAGGGCGGTGCGAGGGGGGGGGGGGGCTCGCCGACGCACGCGAGGTGGCCCCCGCTGCGTATAAGGTGGACCATAGACATGGCCGCGCTTAACTACTTCGCTCGTTTGTCCGGCTTCGCCAATGATCCCCAGTGGGAGGCAAAGTGATGCCTTGCCGTTGAGGTCGGCGGCTGCTTCGTGCGTTGCGAAGACCGCCCCAGCTCGCTGCAGCACGTCCCCCCCGTAGTCGTGGAACACCGTGTTGTCGCCGTGCACGGGGGGGTGGGCGTTGTTAACGCGGTGGAAATGCCCTTCTGGGGTGAGGCGGGGCAGATCCATCGACAACCCGCCTCTGGGCAAGACGCAAGAAGCCGCGGGGGAAGCGAGTGCCATCCTCGAAGAGGCCCTTGTCCTTGGCCGCGTAGAAAGCTATGAGGGGTTGATCCGCAGCAGCGTTGAAGCCCGAGTCAACGGCTGCGAACAAGGCTACAATGGCGGTTGTCTTCCCAGAGCCAGGGGGGGGCGGTGCGCCAGGGCGACGCAGTGGGAGTTGCACGAGTGGAGAACCTGCCTGGAGAGGTCGCTGAGGGAGAGGGCCACAGTTGCGCGGTCGAGCTGGGAAGCGGTCGGGACTGACCTGGGGCGCTGAAAGACCTGCGCGACGCTCTCGTCGATGTCGTTCGCGTTGACGGCAGGAAATCTTAGCGTGCCAGGGCGGGCGGTATCCGGGTGTCGGGGTCGCAGATGGGCGCGCCGAGGGTAGGCGCAGCGCGGCGGCGGAGGGCTGCGCTGATGTTGTGGTTGAGCTGCGCCTTGTTGGCAGTCTGATCGTCGGCGACATCGGCGCTCCTGAGACCCAAGAAATACGTCAGGACGACGGCGGGGGCGCCGTAGAGGCCCTGCGGGTCGCACCCCGTCACGTCAGCTTCCTCGACGGCTTCCTGCGGCTTCCAGTGCTGTAGCTCGGACGGGGCATTGTCCACTCTGTAGATCGGTTCGGGCGCCTCGCCGGCGGCTGAAGTCGTCGTCCGCCCAGGGTGGAAGCGGCCGACCATTTCGCGATTGTACCTCGCGAAGCACACGCTGAAGGGGTGCCTGGCGCCCTTGTTGAGCCCGAGACGCCTGCATTCTGCCTCGGGGACTGCATTTCTAAGCTGCTGGATCCCAGGCCAGACCGCCACTGTCGCGGCGATCTCGTCGGGGGAAGGGCCTCTGATGGAGATGATCAAATTATCCTAACAATGGCCATCGGGCTTCTTGTGTTTGATCTGGTAATCTCGGCCCCGGTCGACACGGAAGCATGCACATGTGTCGCAGGGCTCGATCTTCTCGGAGACTCTCAACTTGTCGCGCTCGCCCGTGCGCGCGGTCTCGCCCGCTTCTGCGATTGCCACGCTTAGGGCGACCGTTTGTTATAGGCGGAGCTCGCTGCGCGTCCGCTCGGCCCCGTCATCGCGCGGCTCAAGTTGGGCTCTGCTCTCAACCCACATGAAGCGATGACGACGGGGGCCGCGGCCCTTTAGGGCACGGGGCCAATCGCGGGGGGCGGGCGGCGCCGGGGGGCGTGAGATTTGGGGGCCCTGGCAAGCGCCCTCGCCCCAGGGCGAAAGCGGGGCGCCCGCGCGGCCGCCGGGCCCCCAGCGCGGCCGCTGGCCGGGGGGGGTCGGGCGTCGCAAGTGCCTGGGCCCACGCCATGGTCAGGGGCTTCGGGCTGTGAGAGGGGCGGCCTCGGGCCCTAGCAGTCCCGCGCGGCGCGGAGGTCGCGAGCCGCGCGCTTCGGTCGGGTTGGGCGACGGGGGCGTCCATCAGCTGGGGGGCAGGCGCCCTTGGGGGTCGAAGTAAGGGGCCGGCTGGCGGCATGCGCGCGGGGCCGGGGTTGTTGGTCAGAGCGAGAGCGTCTTCGAAATGGGGCCGGGTCGGCGTCGATGCGCCATGGTGTGTGGGGGGGGGGGGCCATGGAGGGGCCCCGAGTTGCGGCGGGGTCGGCCGCGGTGTCGCGGGGGCAGACTTAGTCCTGCGGCATATCGGGCAGTGGATAGCTCGTGGGAACATGGCCCTAACCGTCTGGGAACTGTATATTCATAAGCTGCCTAGTTCCCCCAACCACGACTGTCTCCGTAAGTTGCCAACCTTTCCAGCGGAAGCGCTCCACTCTGTCCTGTAACCCTATCCGTAGATTTGCCCTGCAGGCGGGCGGGTCCACATATTGCTCCTGGAGGCGTGCGTTTGGGGGTCGGGCCATCCATAGACCCACTGCCGCTCGAGCTCCAGCAAGTGCGGGCCGCTGGCAAAGTGATCTCTCCCGTGTGTTTCCTTCTGGCAGGGCTCGAAATAGCAGCGCCAGTGACTATTGAGGTAGACCACCGTAGCCGGGGGCAAAGACGCGCCACGAAGGGGCGATCTTCGGTGGATCCCCGGGGGGGGGGCCAGGTTCGCAACCGTGACTACGAGGCCAGCGGGCCAGCGGCCCGCCGCGGTTCTCGCTGGCCATGGCGTTGATCCAGGTGCGGGGGCCAGCGCCTTAGCGCCCCGGATCGCGAGCCGCGGGGTGTGCTTGGCAAGCGTGCTCCAGCTGCTCGGTGGCGGTCGCGACGGCATCGGAATCGAAGAGGTCGACGGAGGTGGGGAAGAGGAGGGGGGGCGGGATGGGAGTTTGAGCCAAACGGCGTGAGAGGCGAGGCGGGTGCTGCCTTCCCTCCGAAGGGCAGCAGCCCAGTAAATCCCAATTGCGGCGGTGCGGTCGGCGGCCTGGTTGAGCCGCCTGCGGACGGCCTGCCAGGTGAGTGTCCAGCAGGCCTCACTGGCTTGCCGCAAGGCCATGTCGATTTGCTGACTCAGGTGCAGCCGGCGGCGCCTGCCCGCGCATGCACCGCATCGGATGGCAGCGAGATTGTCGCCGACGAATCTGGCGGACCGGACCGGGCCCGGGACGTGAGGGAGTAGGGCAAGGCCAGCTTTGCAGCCTGCGGCCTCGGCCGTTTGGGCATCGTCGCAGCCTGGCGAGGCAAGGAATGTGACGGCGACCAGCTCGGGGGCGGCGCGTTGGGGGTTGTGGTGCCACAGGAGGGCCCCGGCACCAAAGACTCTCTGGTCGTTGCCGTAAGTAGGAGCGCGTGGGAGCTGCGTGCGGGGCAGAACCTCATGGCCAATTGTGCGGATGGCTGCCATGCGGGGCGCGGACAGGGGAACCAGCCGCGCCCAGGAAGGAGCTGCCCGGCACGTGGGTCGTCCGCCTGAAAGGCGGCAAGGCGGGTGCCCTCGCACGCCCGCCTGGCCGCGACCGGGAGCCGTCTGGCGTCTCCTCCACTTCGATCGGCGGTTCGCGTTTGGCGCGGGCGGGCCGCGACTTGCATGGCGCCTGTTTCCGGGGGGGTGGAGTTGCACCCCGTGCAGCGGGCAAAGAAAAAGGCCCAGACGGCTGTTTCACGGTGCTGCTGTGGCCCGCCTACCGGGGACCCTTCTTCCGTCTCTTCGTCGCAGCAGGGATCGTCGTCTGCAACGGAGAAGCCCTGTATGATGAGGCGAGCAGCCTGTGTGGGGTCGAGGGGGGCGTCATCGAAACCTACGCGATAGTGGTAGGAGACCTGATGGACAATGCGGGCAGCTAACTCTTGGTGTGCTCCACCACATCATATGGCGGAACCAATGTCATTGGGGTGGTCGCTGGCCTTGGTCAGCTGCCAGGTCAGCGCAACGGCTGTGCACCAGGACCATAGGTGTTCCGCGGTGGCCTCCCAGGGCCCCCACAGGGGGCAGGGGCCATAGACCCCGCCCGCACTCGGCGTTTCGAAGGAAGGGCGCGCCCCTCGGAGGATCAGCCCGGCGGGCCTGAGTGCGGGCGGGAGTGGGGAGGGGTCCATGGCAAGCCAAAGGGCGTAGGAATGGCCCCAAAGGCCTAAGCACGAAGAATGCCGCGCGTGTCCGAGGATGTTAGGGCTCCGGGTGTACCACGTCTCCACCACATACGTGGCAAGTGTGGTAGCCGGTCCTCGGCGGCTCTCCGGCGGCCCGACCCGGGCATCCCGTTCACGAGGAAACGGAGGACGTGATGGGCGGCGGTGAAAGAGGAGCAATGGCGGAGTAGGTTCCACTCCGCATGGGTGCCTGGTGCCCACTTTCTCTAGGCAATGGCGCCATGCATCCAGGCGGCGACTGCATCTCCGCGCATCTGGCCCCAGGCGGCGGCGTAGACCACCCGCCCGAAGTATTGCCCAGCGAGTCGGCCCAAGGAGTGTCTCGCCCTGTGCAGGAGTTGGGCGGCCTTGTGGTAAGTGAGCACTTTGGAGCTAGGGCGTGGGTTGGGGACGTCGCGCGGGGTGCGGGCGGCCCAGTTACGAAGCTTCATCCGCCGCGTAGAGGCTTTTTTTCGTGCAGGGTCTGGCCCCCGCGCGTCGTGGAGCGCGCTGGCTCGAGCCGCGATGGCACGTGCGCAGGCGGCGGGGCAGCGCGGGCAACCTGGGACTTGAAAAAGGATGCCGAGCCCAATGAACACGTAATCGGCGGCCCAGGGGCAGGCAGCCAAGCCGAGGGCCACCCTCACTTGCGCCTTCAGCGTGCGCCCCCGGTGGGTGTCCGGAGCCATATAGCGTGCTGTCGGAGGAGCAGGAAGAGGAGGAGTAGGAGGAGGACGAGGAAGAGGAGGAGGAGGAGGAGGAGGAGGAGGAGGAGGAGGATAATGATAATGGGAATGACAAGGAGGGGCAGGAAGAGGGATAACTGAGAAAAGAGAACTGCAGGAGGAGGGCGCGGAGGAGCAGGAGGAGGAGATGCTGCCGACGGACTCTGGCGCCGACAGCCCCTGGC